TCAAATCTTGACTCCGAGGGTCGGGCCTTGGGTTGCTGGGGCACCCCTGCCTTCTAAATCGCAACCCTTACAGATCTTGAACTCCGAGGGTGGGGCCTTGGACTTTGATGGGGCGGGGCGCCCCTGATTTTTAAATCAGAACCCTTACAGATCCTTGAACTCCGAGGGTGGGGCTTTGGACTGATGGGGCACCCCTGATTCTTAAATCAAAGCTTTGACAGATGTTGAACTCCGAGGAGGAGGCCCTGGACTGATGGAGCGCCCATGATTTTCAGATCACCGCCTCTTAGTGAGCTTGAACTCCGGGGGTGGGGCCTCGGACGCCCCTGGTTTTTTTGATCAGAACTCTTTCAAAGCTTGAACTCCGAGGGTCGGGCCTTGGGTTGCTGGGGCACCCCTGATTTCTAAATCACAACCCTTACAGATCTTGAACTCCGAGGGTGGGGCCTTGGACTCTGATGGAGCGGGGCGCCCCTGATTTTTAAATCAGAACCCTTACAGATCCTTGAACTCTGAGGGTGGGGCTTTGGACTGATGGGGCACCCCTGATTCTTAAATCAAAGCTTTGACAGATGTTGAACTCCGAGGAGGAGGCCCTGGACTGATGGAGCGCCTATGATTTTCAGATCACCGCCTCTTAGTGAGCTTGAACTCCGGGGGTGGGGCCTCGGACGCCCCTGGTTTGTTTAATCAGAACTCTTTCAAATCTTGAACTCCGAGGGTGGGGCCTTGGACTCTGATGGAGCGGGGCGCCCCTGATTTTTAAATCAGAACCCTTACAGATCCTTGAACTCCGAGGGTGGGGCTTTGGACTGATGGGGCACCCCTGATTCTTAAATCAAAGCTTTGACAGATGTTGAACTCCGAGGAGGAGGCCCTGGACTGATGGAGCGCCCATGATTTTCAGATCACCCAGATCACCGCCTCTTAGTGATCTTGAACTCCGGGGGGTGGGGCCTCGGACGCCCCTGGTTGTTTTAATCAGAACTTTTTCAAATCTTGAACTCCGAGGGTCGGGCCTTGGGTTGATGGGGCACCCCTGATTTCTAAATCACAACCCTTACAGATCTTGAACTCCGAGGGTGGGGCCTTGGACTCTGATGGAGCGGGGCGCCGCTGATTTTTAAATCAGAACCCTTACAGATCCTTGAACTCTGAGGGTGGGGCTTTGGACTGATGGGGCACCCCTGATTCTGAAATCAAAGCTTTGACAGATGTTGAACTCCGAGGAGGAGGCCCTGGACTGATGGAGCGCCCATGATTTTCAGATCACCGCCTCTTAGTGAGCTTGAACTCCGGGGGTGGGGCCTCGGACGCCCCTGGTTGTTTTAATCAGAACTCTTTCAAATCTTGAACTCCGAGGGTGGGGCCTTGGACTCTGATGGAGCGGGGCGCCCCTGATTTTTAAATCAGAACCCTTACAGATCCTTGAACTCCGAGGGTGGGGGTTTGGACTGATGGGGCACCCCTGATTCTGAAATCAAAGCTTTGACAGATGTTGAACTCCGAGGATGAGGACTTGGACTGATGGAGCGCCCATGATTTTCAGATCACCGCCTCTTAGTGAGCTTGTCCTCCGGGGGTGGGGCCTTGGACGCCACTGGTTTTTCTAAATCAGAACTCTTACAAATCTTGAACTCCGAGGGTCGGGCCTTGGGTTGATGGGGCACCCCTGATTTCTAAATCACAACCCTTACAGATCTTGAACTCCGAGGGTGGGGCCTTGGACTCTGATGGAGCGGGGCGCCCCTGATTTTTAAATCAGAACCCTTACAGATCCTTGAACTCCGAGGGTGGGGCTTTGGACTGATGGGGCACCCCTGATTCTAAATCAAAGCTTTGACAGATGTTGAACTCCGAGGAGGAGGCCTGGACTGATGGAGCGCCCATGATTTTCAGATCACCGCCTCTTAGTGAGCTTGAACTCCGGGGGTGGGGCCTCGGACGCCCCTGGTTTGTTTAATCAGAACTCTTTCAAATCTTGAACTCCGAGGGTGGGGCCTTGGACTCTGATGGAGCGGGGCGCCCCTGATTTTTAAATCAGAACCCTTACAGATCCTTGAACTCCGAGGGTGGGGCTTTGGACTGATGGGGCACCCCTGATTCTTAAATCAAAGCTTTGACAGATGTTGAACTCCGAGGAGGAGGCCCTGGACTGATGGAGCGCCCATGATTTTCAGCGCCTCTTAGTGAGCTTGAACTCCGGGGGTGGGGCCTCGGACGCCCCTGGTTTTTTTGATCAGAACTCTTTCAAAGCTTGAACTCCGAGGGTCGGGCCTTGGGTTGCTGGGGCACCCCTGATTTCTAAATCACAACCCTTACAGATCTTGAACTCCGAGGGTGGGGCCTTGGACTCTGATGGAGCGGGGCGCCCCTGATTTTTAAATCAGAACCCTTACAGATCCTTGAACTCTGAGGGTGGGGCTTTGGACTGATGGGGCACCCCTGATTCTTAAATCAAAGCTTTGACAGATGTTGAACTCCGAGGAGGAGGCCCTGGACTGATGGAGCGCCTATGATTTTCAGATCACCGCCTCTTAGTGAGCTTGAACTCCGGGGGTGGGGCCTCGGACGCCCCTGGTTTGTTTAATCAGAACTCTTTCAAATCTTGAACTCCGAGGGTGGGGCCTTGGACTCTGATGGAGCGGGGCGCCCCTGATTTTTAAATCAGAACCCTTACAGATCCTTGAACTCCGAGGGTGGGGCTTTGGACTGATGGGGCACCCCTGATTCTGAAATCAAAGCTTTGACAGATGTTGAACTCCGAGGAGGAGGCCCTGGACTGATGGAGCGCCCATGATTTTCAGATCACCGCCTCTTAGTGAGCTTGAACTCCGGGGGTGGGGCCTCGGACGCCCCTGGTTTTTTAATCAGAACTCTTTCAAAGCTTGAACTCCGAGGGTCGGGCCTTGGGTTGCTGGGGCACCCCTGATTTCTAAATCACAACCCTTACAGAGCTTGAACTCCGAGGGTGGGGCCTTGGACTCTGATGGAGCGGGGCGCCCCTGATTTTTAAATCAGAACCCTTACAGATCCTTGAACTCCGAGGGTGGGGCTTTGGACTGATGGGGCACCCCTGATTCTGAAATCAAAGCTTTGACAGATGTTGAACTCCGAGGATGAGGACTTCGACTGATGGAGCGCCCATGATTTTCAGCGCCTCTTAGTGAGCTTGAACTCCGGGGGTGGGGCCTCGGACGCCCCTGGTTTGTTTAATCAGAACTCTTTCAAATCTTGAACTCCGAGGGTCGGGCCTTGGGTTGCTGGGGCACCCCTGCCTTCCTTCTAAGTCGCAACCCTTACAGATCATGAACTCCGAGGGTGGAGCCTTGGGTTGATGGGGCGCCCCTGATATCAGGTTTATCGGGTTTATCGGGTTTCTCGGGTTTCTCGGGTTTCTCGGGTTTCTCGGGTTTCTCGGGTTTCTCAGGTTTCTCGGGTTTCTCGGGTTTCTCGGGTTTCTCGGGTTTCTCGGGTTTCTCGGGTTTCTCGGGTTTCTCGGGTTTCTCGGGTTTCTCGGGTTTAGCGGTGCGCGTCCGCTGTTTGCGCGCGCAATGGAATTCTATGTACCCCCAAACCCTGAACCCTGCAACAGAAAATCGAAAGACAGCCTCAAGAAAAAACAAAACTCTACACAACTCTGAGGAGGCCCCGAATCCCGGGATCCTCGGCGACTTCGGGTGGGGAGCGCGTCGGCGACTTCGCCGCACCGTGAGCAGCCATCAGACCAAAGCTGGGAGGGCTCTCGGAAAGCCCTTAACTTACCGTTGGTTACCGTTGGTTAGGAGGGAATGGAGGAATGGGGTACAATTATAACTACTATTACTACCAGTCTTCCATTCCCTATTAACCAAAGGTAAGTTAAGGGTATGACAGGGGGCTTAGTGACTAGGGTTTCGCTCATGGTAGACAGGGTTGAAGGCTTGAGGGCATGGGACTGAGGCGTTTAGGCATCCCTTGTGCAAGTCTGCAGCACTTGAAGTAGGCATCCAAACGCGCACCATAAAGTCCTAAAGTTCTGTGGATTCTGAGCTACGTTGCTTCCGTGACTTGGCAAGTATAGCCTTCTTGGTACACCCTAGGGCCCTTGACAAAGAGAACAGGGCTTTGGGGTACCCTATGGTGTAACTATACTCTGGAACCCTGAAGCCTGAAGGACAATATGGGGAATTCTTAAGACCCCTATGTTGCAGTCTGGGTCCTGGGGCTCAAGCGTTTCAGAAGTTGTAGTTGCCGAACGCCTGAAGTAAGCGAGAGGCTGCTACATCGCGGGCTTGAGTCTGCAAGCAGGACGTCTCGTCTAGACTCACTATGACATACGGGCGGTAACATGTCCAGAGAGATCCGGGATGTTAGGGTCGGGGGCTCAGGTTGAAAGGCTTATGATCATTGCCTAAAACTTATCATGTACATGTAAATTCTATGTATACCCTGCCGTATGGTGTAGGGTTTCTGCTTTCGACCTATGTCTCCCTGTAGTCAAAAACCCTAAACCCTAAAACCCTAAACCCTAAACCCCTATCAGACACTCACCCACATTCGACTTCCTATCTCCTCCAAGTCAACCGGATCCGCCTGTGATTTTGAGGATTTGGGGCTGTAGGCTTGGGGTTTAGGGATGTCTAGGGTATGGGGCTTTAGGTTTAGGGTTAAGGCTGTAGGGCTGATGGGTTACTTCGCTATGGGTACTATCGAGTGTATGTTGGCACTTCACTGCCCTCCATTCGCCGGATTAGGATTTAGGGCTTCTGCCGTTAGGTTAGGAATTGAGGTTCTTGGGGTCTGGGGTTAGGGCCTAGGTTTGGGTCAGGGTTTACGTTCGGGGCTAACGAAGTGCTGTGCGCGCGGACACATCCGGGTGACCCGGAGACTCCAAAAGCACTTCATCATCAGGCTATTGATGGGGTTCTTGGGCCCAGGCGTTGGAAGACCCTCAAACCTCCTAAACCACCGAAGAGACCCACGCACTGCGCTTTTTGCTGCAATAACCTCCTCGGAGCTTAGATGTTGTAGCCTGCCTCGCGCTCCTGCGAAAGAGGACAGCCCCGCGAGAATAGAGATTAAGAACAGCGGCCTTACAAGATAGAAGAGCTTTAATTTATATAGGGACCAGAAGCGGAGACCCCATTGAGGCTGCAGGGCCTGCGTCAGAGTGGAGGATTTCGGTGTTGTTGGTCTTTGCGCTTCTAGCTTTGTGGGTGCAAGTCATCAGGTATAGTACGGGCATCTTGCTGAATGTTCAGACTTGTGCTGTGGTGAGTCGCTGTTGAGGACATGGTATTGAGCTGGACGAAGATTTGTAGATGTACTGGGTTATCTTTTGGCTCATCCATCGCTTCATTCACTTTTATGAATGCGTGATGGCTTGCATGTCCCTTTATTCAATCAGGTAGCTGATTGCTCAGTTCGCCTACTTGGCATAGTTAGCTTGTTAAACTCAGCCTATAGGTAGCTCAATTCGTTCAGGTAGCTTGGGTAGCATACCAAGTTTAGTTGCTTAAGTTACTTTAGTCAAGTAAGTTGACCAGTTATCTTGTTTAACTTGTTAGTGTTGTAGACTAGTTATCATTGACATGTCAGGTAATTCGTCTACATAGTTTAACCAGCCAATGTTTACAAGGATAGTTCAGTTGGCCGAGTGAGTCAGTTAAGTTAGCCCAGAACAATTAAGTTAGTTAAGCGAGTTTATTTACTCAAGCTAGTTCAGATACTCAAGGCTCGTATGTGAGTTTAGTGAGCTGAGCCAGTTTTGACAGTTTAGTATGCGGCACTATAGTTTGTATAGTTTATTCGGTTCGTGCGACCATTTAATCATGTGATGCGCAATTCGCCTAGAGCGCTTGCCCAAAACCCAATCGTCTGCGTCCTTGGCACGCTTCTGCCCTTTCTGCGCGGAGAGCATCGCCAAGGTGGTGGCCAGAGAGGCCACGAAGCCGCTGCCCACAAAGAGCCCTTGAGCATTCAAGATTCGGAGCTTCGGGCTCCTAACATGGATCCCTAAACCCTAAACCCTGCACCCTAGACCCTGACAAAACCCCCCTAAACCTGAAATCCCAAATCCCTGAAGGTCCCTTCATCACAAGGGACCTAGAAGGATTCCGTTCCTGTACAGATTCCTAAAAGGTTTCCATTCAGGCTCCTGTAATCATAAGGGCTCCTGCACTTTTCCTCTTCGGAAACCGCGACTCAGCTTGGAGGGTCGGGGGACTTAGTAACTGGTTATTTTCGGGACTTAGAAGTACCATAACCCCAATTAGGGTCCCTTTTAGGGTACTTATAAGTCTACTTACTACCTACTTACTGAGTCCCCCTTTCACCCTCCAAGAGCAAGGCTCAGGGTTCAGCATTGCCTTCTTTTCATCCTCCTAAACCCCAAATGCTACAAGGGTTACTATAAGGGTACTGTAAGGGCTACTACAAGGGTTACTATAAGTCTTCGCTGATCTGCGTCTCGTCTTTGGTCCACTTGTCCTCCGTTCGCTGGACCACGCCCTCCTAATATAGGGGCCTTTAATGATTAGAATAGGGTTCCCTTGAGGTTGCCGTTTAAAGGGGTCTACAAGGACTTCTATAAGGTTTAGTATATTTATTTAGGCCACTAGATTATTACACTATCGAGGCAGAGCCCATGGATCAGCTTTGTCCTCCGACACCTGCATTTTCTCAATGGGTTTCTTCATCTCTTCGACCTCATCGACCACTTCTTCCGTTTGCCGAGCTGCTGCCTCCCCCTGGGTCTTCAAGGTAAGCATCTCTTTGTTAATGTTCTTTTGGCCTTCAGCTCCGCCCCTAAGTGTGACCTGAGACGCTCCAAGCTCCTTGCCCGTCAAGATCTATACCCTAAAGCCTAAACCTTAAACCCTAAACCACTCCCCCACGCATCCGGACGTTTCCTCTTCCCAGAGAGGTCTGCTGCAGGCGTCAAGAGGTCCACATCATCCCCACTCCCGAAAATCTCCATGGGGCTAGGGTTTAGGGTTCTGGGTTGAGGATCTCCATGGGGTGAGCCAAGCCCTAAACTAGTTCATCATCTGCAAGGGGAATCGCCATGAGCTGCGAAGCTCAACCCGGCGCCCTGCAGTGTTCCTTTAAGCACTGGAGCCGTAGCCATTTTGAGTTTGGGGTTTAGGGCTTGCCCTAATTCCTGAACCCTAAACCCGGTTAGCCGAGCCATTCCAACATGAGAGCTGTAATTACGCCTGCAGTTTTGGAGGGGTGCGGGTTTGGGGTCTGCAGGGTGGGTTTTCCGTCGTGCTTGCAGAATTAAGGCCTCCAAACTCAAATCCCCAAGCCCTGCTAGTGTAGGGTTCGAAATGATTAGAGTATCCCCTGTTACACGATGATAATATACCCCAAGACCCTGCTTGAAGGGTTTCGTCCTTACGCCGTGGCGCCGCAGCGCATTTGCTCCGAAAGCAAACACATTAGCTCCTCATCCCAAATCCGAAACCCTGATTTCGTCGAGGGCTGGTAGATTGAATTGGGCTTTAGGGTTGCTGGCTTGGGGTTTAGATCGTGCTTCAGGAACTGTACTGTATCATAACGAAAGCCCAAAAAATCTGAAGCCCCGGAATGGAAAAGTTAAGCGCCAACCAGAAAGCCTCCGGAGCCGTCTCGGTTGAGAGCGACAGGGAACAACACTAATCCTGAAGTCTTCAACCTTAAGCTTCAGAATCAACCCTAAATTCTGACAGCAAACCCCAAAGCCCCAAAGCCCCAAACCAGACCTAAGACACTCCTAAACCTAAACCCTAAACCCCCAGATGCCTGTACCAAGGATGTTCACAGTTCCCTCGGTGTTCTCCTCGCAAAGTGCTCAGAAAGATTTAGGCTCGCGGGCATAGGAGGGGCTTCGGCTGTGTGGGATCCTCGAAATCTTGAACCCGACATCAGCAAGGTCAGGGCCGAGACAAAGACCATTTCATGAAAGCGTTTAGACAGGTTTAAAGGTATTCAGTGAGAGCAAGAAGCCCTGCATACTAAACTCAGAGTACTATAGAGCCCTTAAAAACATACCCCATGTTTGCGCGGCTGTTATATTCTGCCACCGAAAAAAAAAACCTTGATGAAGTAGGGAAGTTCCTGTTCCGCCCACGCCCTATAAACCCCATAACAACTAAACCCAAAGCTTGAAAAAGCCCTAAATCCCAGACTCTGCGGTCGCCGGCGCTTTAAGGCGGCAGGGCCCTATCTCCTCGTCCTATACATGAGCCGCATTGGTTGGGCACCTCCGAACTATACTGAACTTAGAACCCTAGCAAAAAATAATTCTAGCTGTTTCTTAGGGATTATAATAACCAAAAAATTAAAAAATAATTCTAAGCACCCCTAAGAAAACAAAGAAACCCGGAGCCAGGCCCTAGTCCCGTGCGAAGAGCACTACTTGGAGGGCCAGGCGACTTAGCAAGTCGTTTATACGTAAGGCTATATTTGGGGTAACTCCATTTAGGGTACTTATAACCCTAAACCCTAGACCCTAAACCCTAGACCGTGAACCCTAAACGCCCTAAACCCTAGACCCTGAACCCTAAGTCCCCTGCCCCTCCAAGTAGAGTCATTTCACGGCGACTGGAAAACCACCAGCTCGGGGACCCAAGCCACCGATGACCCTAAGCTGAAACCACCCGAAACCACCCTAAAGCCTTGCTCCAAACCACCCAGCCTGAATCCCCGTAAGCCTGATCCCAAACCCTACACCCTACACTGAGAGTCGGGTGCGTCCTTGGCGTTGGAGCATGTCCTGGCAACTAGAAAAACGAACCGAGAGTTGTTGCGATCTATCTCTGCCAACTATTCAGATCTTCCAACATACGCCCATGAAAGATGGGCCCCTAAACTATATTCGGGGTCCCATGACAATTAAAGATATTACAGGTTTTTGTAAATTATTGGACAGTAGCCATGTAGATCCTGATGAATCAACCACTTTTCTTGACGGACCCTACATGTTGGGATTCCCAGAACAATCCAAAAAAAAGCGCAGACGGTTGACAACTTTTTGGAAAGGTCTAGAAATCTTTGGGTTTAAGGGCGGTTTTAAAGATCTACAAAGGAGCCTTAATAAATAGAACAGGGTTCGGCATAAGCTTGAAGCAGTATAGCGAATCCTGTCGAGCGGGGAAGTCATGCCTCAGCAAAAACTCACAGACCGCTATGAAGGCACTAGTCATCATGACGAGTACGTTCAAAGGAACCAATCCACAACTACCCTAAACCCTGAATCCATGTACAACCACGCTTAACCCGAATGTGTGGAGCTGTAGCGCTCTAAAGCTTCAAGCAGAAAGGGCTTCCCTAAACTCTAAACCCTTCTAGTACTTTCATGCCCCAGGGTTTTGGGAGCCGGACGTCCGCTTTCAGGCGCGATGTACTCTTGGAGGGTTTCTGTACAGGGGTTTCGGATTTGGTTTTGGGGTTTGGTCTAGCTACTCCTACAGTAGAGTATGCAAGGGTTCTGCTTTCACGACCCTTCATAGAAAGCGCTCAACCCGTGCAAACATGACTCGGACAAGGGCCTCTTCCCCCGCGCGCGTGCGCGCACCGGTCTGAAGTTCGACTGTGACACTGCTCGGCTTCGACTGAGACATGATGCTCCTCTCCGTCTCTCTCTCTCTCTCTCGCCGTCCCGTCGGGCGCGCCACGTGGGGTTCGTGGAGCTGTGGCCGCTCCTTCGCGGGAGAATTTCCTGACAACGCCTCGTTTGTGCTGTTTCGGCAAGAAATTACGCCGTCCCCACGCCTGAAGGCTTTGGGGATTTTTGCGGCAGCAGATATGCATTGTTGGACCGCATGCTTTTGGCTGTGCCGCCACTGGTCCAGCGTGCTTCTCGATCGATGGCCCGGCGTCTGAAGACCCGAGCCGAAGGATAGCGTGGGTTCGCTTATTGTGGCAACCCTAAACTCCTAAACCGCCCTATACCCTGAACGCTAAACTTTGAAGTCTAAACCGCTGCAGCAATGAACGACGATCAGCTTCATCCCTCATCGCCAGATCTACCCCAAGCCTTAAACTTAAACCCAAACCCTGAACCCCGAGCCTCAACCAACTTGAGCTGTAATAGCTATAAGACCCTTAGACCCCAGACAAATATGAACAGTCACCTGCTTTAACGATGACCCGGAAGGCCACTCCTAAGCAACACTCCCAAAACCCGAACCCTGAACAACTAAACGCTAATTGCTATACCCTAAACCCCATATCCCAAAACCCCCAACCCCGCAGCCCTAAAACCTAAAACCCCAAAACCCCCCATATCCCCCAAAAGCCCCCAAACGCCCCCCCAAGAGGCCGAGCCTCCCCGAGAAACCCGGTTGGCAGTAGCAGACGCCCGCTTCGCAAAGCCCTCGCCAGTTGCCTCGGAACATTGGGGGCCTCCGGGGTTCAGAGTTTAGGGTTTGAGGTTTAGGGTTCAGGGTTTAGGGTTCAGGGTTTAGGGTTCAGGGTTTAGGGTTCAGGGTTTAGGGTTCAGGGTTTAGGGTTCAGGGTTTAAGTTTTTTTTGTGCTCCTTTTTCCAACTGATCCGAGAGTTTAGGGTTTGAGGTTTAGGGTTCAGGGTTTGGGCTTGAAGGAGCTGAGGCTTAGGAAAAAAGTTTTGTGGATGGAGGTTTGGGGTTTAGGGGTTGAGGGTTGACGGTGTATGCTTTTTTTTTTTTTTTGAAATGCAAGGCTTTAAGGTCTTGGGCTTTATAGGGACCTTCATAGCTCGAACGGGATTTCTATAGGGCGGTATATAGGGGCCTTCGCAACTAGAATAGGGTGTAAGGGCTGGGCTTTAGGGCTCAGGGTTCCAAAATCTAGCTTTGGGTCCAGGGTGTTAGGGTCTGTGATACAGGCGCCTTAAAATAAAGGTGGGGTTCTGTAAGGGTTCCGGTAAAGGGTCCTACAAGGTTTTGGTCGGGGTCGTGTTTTAGGGGGACCTTCAAAATTAGAAGAAAGCCTAAAGTTGAGGGCTAAGGGACCTAGAAGGGATCGAGAGTCCAGAGTCTAGAGAATCTAGGCAGAAGGCTTCTTTGAAGTAGGGGTTCTATGATAAGGGCTCGGTCCTTGCGCTCCGAGGCCCAGAAAGCAAACCCATCATCCCCTGGAAGCAGAGAAGCTGCACCGGGACACTGCTCCACGAGAGGCCTCTGAGCACCACGGCTCAAGGATTGGACCGACGTACACGGGGGCGAAAGCCAGAGATCCGAACTGGGCCTCAAGTGTGCCTTCTAACACAAATTGTGGAAGCTTTCTTTGCAAGGTTCCTTAAGGCCTCTATACAGGCTCATACAGGGTTTTGGGGGGTATACGAAAGGATACATGCAAAAAGGAGCCCTGTGCAAGATTTCAAGATTTCAGATGAGGCGCAGTGCGGGAGACTATGATGATTTCTGCTCGGATTCCAGCAATAGCTGTTAGCGGTTAACATTGGGGGGGGCCCAATAATTACCTATACTATTGCGGGGCTCCTTATTACAATTATAGTGTAATGGGCCCCAAAACCAGGTTCAAATTGTTGAGGCCCCTAGAGTAGGTTTGTTCTTCCGGTCTTCGGGTTAGAGAGCTGCTGGGTTTTAGATACGTTGCCGCCGTCACCTTACCCTTGCAGTCAGGTGCTACTGTCATAGTTCTACAATATTCAGACTAATATTCTGCTACCAGAGCACGAAGAAGTGTTCCGATGTATTCTCCGGAACCCTCAACCCTAAACCTTAATACAGCCATCCCAATGATCACCTAGCGGAACGGCAGAGCGTTCACAGAAGACCCGGTCACACCAAAACGCCTCACTCTAAACAAAAACTGAAAGCCCACGGCTCTGCTAGAGAGGGTTTAGGGCTCTGGGTTTAGAGTTCGGGGTTAGGGCAACTAAACCCTAAACACCAAACTTCGAGTTTATCAAGACTCAAGGACACTCCTTGTCCTACACCCTAAACCCAAAACCACCAACCCCTAAACCCTAAACCCCTAAACCCCTAAACCCCTAAACCCCTAAAGGCTCAAAACCCTAACCGAACCCTTCCAGGAATCCTTTGAGCCGCCCCTGAGCTTTTGGCAGAAGTCCTCGCAGTCGGGGGAGAGATCCTCTCCCGCATGCCCGTCCTGAGGGTTAGGGTTTACGGTTTAGGGTTGAGCGGTTTGGAAGTTAGGGTTTAAGGTTTTGGGGTTTTAAGGTTTCTGGAATTGAAGGTTTTGCGGTTTTGGGGTTTGTGGTGTTGGTGGATTTTGGGGATTGGGTTTTTTTGGTTTTGGGTTTTCGGGCTTCGGGGTTTTAAACGACGCTCCGTGGTACGGCTTCCTGGAAGGGCTTCTGTCAGGCTTCCCTTCAAAGATCCGTTAGGGTTCCCGTTAAGGACCTTGAGAGGCCCTTCTCTACGGGATCCACGAAGGATTCCGTGTTGTTAAGGGTTCCTTTCATGAAGCTTGTTAGGGTTCTACGCACGATTTCGGGCTTATGGTTTTATGATTACGGAAGACGTGTTAGGGTTGTACTGAATGCTCCGCATGTCCTAGAAACTGGTGTGTGGGCTTGAAGGCTTTTGTGGCTTTGCGGGCTTCAGGTTGAGCAAAGGGCGGGGGTGCAATACTGGTCTTGACCCGATTGCTCCTTACATTTTTGGGCCTAGGGCCAAGTCCGTAAACCAAAAAAGCTCTCAAACCCAACAGCCCAGATTCTCTACCGTCCAAACCCCCAACCTAAAACGCTCCCCCCCTCTCCAAAGGCCACCTCGTTGGCTTTGGCAATGCCAAAATCCGCCGTAGTGATGGGATCAGGGTGGACGGAGTGCCTGAACACGAAGGCATAGGGCTTTGGGGTTCAAAGGGGTTGTGGCTGAGGGTTTAGGGTTTAAGGGTTGGGACTGAGGGGATTGCACTGCGAATGGGATTGCAAAAGGGCTCCAGCCTTCAGAGGGCAGTTCTTCCTGTAGACTACAAACCTTTCTGATCAGGAAGGTGGTCAGACGGTTCTGCTTGCTGGACTCCCTCCTGAGCTCTCATATAGGACACGAAGAACGCTGGACACTAACTTTACACTAAACCGGATCCGTCTCCAAAGGTGGTGGGCAATCTAGACTGCAAACAGCGCAGTCTCCTTTCCCAAAACACCACAAGGACCCCGAATGAGCTACACCCCAAATCCTTGACAGCCTCAACCCTGAACCCTAAGCCCGAGGTCCTTAACAGCCTGAATCCCAAACCCTGGACCCTCACCCCAACCGCTGACACAGAGTCTATGCATCGCGCTTCGCAGGGGGCTGCTCTTGCGACACACCAAGCGAGAGCAAGCTCCTGAGCTAGGCTTTCGGTTGAATTCTACAAGGCTTCTACTACAGGGTCTACAAGACGCATAAAAGGGTTTGGATACTATAAGGGAGGGTTCTGGGAGGCTTCTGTCTGAGGGTTCTATAAGGGTTCCATACGAGATCAGGCGGGCTCTAAAGTAATTCGAAGATCCCGGATCAAGGCTTAGCAGTATATCTATATATATATATATATAAGTTTTAAGTTTGAGAACGCATTATAGGGGCCTTAATAGTTAGAATAGGGCTTTGGGGCCCATTATTGTATAAACACCGTAAGGAACCCCTAAAGTATTATTGGTAATTATTTAGGCCCTTACAGTACGACAACCCTGGGGTTAGGTCACCCATAGTGTGGCGTAGGGTTTAAGGTTTTAGTGGGTATAAGGGTTTAGGGTTTAGGGCTCTAGAAACCTTTTGCATAGTCCTCCAAGCTTTCCAACTACACCGCCACAAGTGTCTGGATATTTTGCATTTTGAACTACTGTCCCCTTATAGTGATTGTATAATCGTGCCTTGAATGGACCCCACAACCCTATTCTAATTACTCAGGCGCTTATCGAAATCCGATAATCTGAAGACTGACCTCGTCTTAAACATGGAACTAATATAGAGGCCTGAATAATTAGGATGGGGTTTTGCGGCACATTATAGTATAAATGTGATAGGGAACCCCCAAAATAATGTCGGTAATTCTTAAGTTAATGCCCCTATAATGCTCTAATTCTCAAAGGCCCCTCTGTTTCGGGTGCTATGGTTTCCTCGCTGTGTTTGGAGGATGCATTAGGACCCTTAGGGGGGGTAGGGGGAGGAGGGTAGGGGGCCTTAATGCCCATAACTAACAAGGACTTAATCATGGCCTCTTTGAAGAAGTATAGTCCCCTACCACCCCTCCCCCTTACACCCCTGTGGCCTTTGAAAGATACTATTGAAGCCTGAATCATTTGCAATACCATGCCCCAGGGCTCCTTGTTTTATCTGTACTATATCCAACTTCTACAACACCCTAGTCTAACGATGAGATCATCTATATGCAGCCCTTACCGGAAACCTGATAGAACCCCTTCAAGGAGCCCTGGTCCAATTATTAAGGTGCTGGAAAACTGAGTGGCTCTTGGTGAAAGCAGCTGACGGTTCTGCCACCATCGCTGGGTCGAACCACATTACGTGGTTCTCTGACGGTGCGCAATCTCGGAAACAGCGCACTGCTGAATCGCTTCCTGCCGGCGGGCCTCAGCAGAAAATTCTGCGAGGGATTTTCCGCCGGCTCCTCATGCTGCTGCTTAGGGCAGAGTTTCCTGAGACACTTCTATAGGAAACAATCGTTCCAGCTGAGCTCCGCAACTTCTGAAGAGGCTCTGCCACCAGGGCATCACCTTTGGATGGGCCAATCTGCCTGCGTCCGGCTTCTTCGAGCACTTCACCTGAGAATCCTCTTTCGCTCCGAACCTTTCTCGCCAGGGCTGTTCAAGCTGCTCAAAAACAGTACTAGATCTTCACTGAGTCGGGTAGTCAATTTTTGCAGTTTATGATAAATATACCTCCCACGAACCTCTTCTGGCGATCTCTGGGCCACTTTTTTGTTTGCCGAAACAAAAGAGGGGCTTTGGGTGCATACATTTTGCTAGAGTTATCCAGGAGCCCTGATGCCGAAGGAACGTGTTACCAACCTAACTATCGAGGCACCTCTACACATTTGCCCTGGGATGAATAGCAACGTTACCAGCTCCTCCTTCAGACATTGTTACATTGCATCACGGTCCTCAGTTATCAGTATTCACCAGGGACCGTTAGCCGCATCCTCGTATAGCATGTCTGTCGTTCCTGCTCGTACCTAGGTGCTTCGTTCTCGTGCTCCACGCATGTGTCGTAGTCTGGCACCTCTCAGAACTCCCATTTTCTCTCCTGCCACAACTTTCTCTTGCACTTCTGGAAATGTTTCTGTTTCTCACAATATCATCGTGGCTTCTTTGCTTCAGTTCTTCCTATTGCCGCGACTCAATCTGACAACTCTTCATGTTCCAGCCGAGTCTCTGCACCAGCCGTGAGCGAAGCGACACAGGCTGACCTTTCAGGCACTGCTGGTGTGAGGCCGTGGGTTGCCGTGCTAATATAGGCGCGTGCACAACTGGAATGGGGCCTTGGGGTATATTGCAATGTAGCTATGATTCAGCAAGACTGGGAACCCTAGATACCACTACTAACTTCTCCAGGGCGCCTACATTACACGGAGTGCTGGGTGTTACTATCATCATAGGGACTCTTAGAAGGGTAAGAGGGAGGGATGTAGGGGACTATATACTTCATACTTCCAATAAAAAGGGCCTTATTGGGTCCTTATTCTGGGCATTAAGGCCCCCTACCCCCTCTCCCCGCTAATTTTCTGAGGGTCCCTATGATACTAATCCTAGGGCCGGCCTCTGGGATCTTACTCCCAACTGACGAGCACCTCCAACACCTACTTACAATCCCGAGCCAACCTCTGGAACACTGCAAAACCTAAATCCTAAACCCTACAGTAAATCTTAAATCCTAAACCCTAACTTCCTAAACCCTAAATCCTAAACCCTAAACCTTAAACCCAGCTAGCAACCTCTGAAACCCGAAACTGAACCCCAAAGACCCACGCTCTTTAAGCCCAATGCTGCTAGTACCAGAACCCTCATTGAACGCTGGACCCCGAAAAGGGTTTAGGATTTAGGGTTTGTCGAAATTAAGGTTTAGGGTTTAGGGTTGGGGATAATGGGATTTAGGATTTAGGGCTCAGGGCTTTGGGATTCAGGGTTTCGGGGATTTAAGGTTCAGGGTTTCGGGGCTCGGGGATCAGACCCTCGTCAGCTAATATAGGGGCCTGAAAAATTACCAATACTATTTTGGGGGTTCCTTGTTATAGTTATGGTATTTTGGGCCCCAAAACCCTATTCTGGTTATTAAGGCCCCTATGTTGACCTCGATTGACCGGGTGCCAAGCTTTGGTTGTGCCCCGCATCAGCAAAGCAGTCGGCCCCGGCCGCTCCGGACTGGCACCTCTCGTAGGGGTTTAACGTTTAGTTTAGTGTCTCGGAGTTTTTAATCATCAGAGTACTGTAGGGGTTTAAGGTCTAGTTTAGTGTTAGGAGCTTTACTGATCAGAGTACTGTAGGAGTTTAAGGTTTAGTTTGGTGTTTAGGAGTTTTAGTGATCTGAATAGTGTTTTGCGTGGGTATATTGTACTAGAGGCAGTATTGGGTAGCGTAGACACCAGATGCATACGTAGTGGCGAAGTCTACACTTATTAGGGCTTCATGGCTCAGAATGAAGGATATGGGTTCAAGGCCCTCTTAGTCACTGAAACACAGGCCCAGGGCCCACACCCTCATCCCTCGAAGTTTAGAATATAGGATAACCCCTAGGCCCTAGACGTGTAGTGCTTAGGACTATACTCCCTACAAAGCTCAGGATGTGAATTCCTACGTCTCAGGGCTAGAATCCACTCCCAAACCTGTGTTGGGTCTCAAATTGTCGAACTCTTCTCAAAACCCGAAGACAACAAATACTCGCTGCTTTAAGGGATTCTTTGCAGGCTCCTTTAAGGAACACCAAACAAAAGTGTAAGGCCTCAGGAGCGTCGGGATTGGCCCTCTCCGACAGCTCGTGAAGGCAACACAAGGCCATGAATACTTCGCGCCCAAAATAACGCAAAACACATGAAATGAGCCAGAAGTTGAAAAATCATACGCTTGGATCAGGCTTGATGCGACTTCTCACTTCCTTAAGCCCCTCCACCTGAACCTAAATCCTAGACCAGAATCACGAGACCCTGAACAGTAAATAAATCCTGAATTGCCTAAACCGAAACCCCTCAACCCTCAACTCTAAACGCCCTAAACCCTTAGTCCATAAAAGCCCCCTTAAAGCAACCCTTAAAAAAACCCTTGAAGGGTTCCTTGACTGTCAAGGGAACAAAAAAGGGCTCTCCATAAAGGAACCCTTCAAGGAGACCCCTAAACGCTACGCCTGCAGGTGCCCCCTGGCAGGCATTCTCCCCGGCCGCTGCAGGGCAGAGGGCTCCCAGGGCATCGCGGGGGCGTGTCGCAAGTGGCGCCGCTGAAGCCGCCGCCTTTCTTTCGGATTTTAAAAGTTTGGGCTTGGGGCTTAGGGTTTAGGGTTAGGGTGTGGGAGTTTGGAGGGTGAAACGCTCGGGCTTTCAGGTTTTGCAGGGAAGGTGCTTTGAGTGTAGCAACTTAGTGGGGCCTTCAGATTTTGGGGCCTCAGCTGCACCCTCAATGTTAACAGCTTCATTTACGTGAAACCTTAACGGCAGACACTTATGATAAGGGCCTCACTCCTAAGCCTAAACCCTATGACCCTAAACTCCTAAACCCTAAACCCTCAACCCTAAATGCTGAACCCTAAACCCTAAACCCTAACCCCTAACCCCTAAACCCCCAAGCCCTGAACCCCTACACCCCTAAACCCTAATTAAACCCTAAACCCTGGACCCTAAACCCTGCACCCCTACACCCCTAAACCTAAACCCTTTTCCCAAACCCTGGTGGAGCCCTGGGAGCTCCATGCAACTGCGCATCACCCCAACTCCGAGCGCAAACCCTCGAGGGTTTTCGTTTTAGTGCTTAGGGTTTAGGGGTTTAGGGGTTTAGGGTTTTGGTGTTTAGGGTTTAGGGGTTTAGGGTTCAGGGGTTTAGGGGTTTAGGGTTCTGCCTTTAGGGTTTAGGGTGCAAGCGCCGGTTTGGAGTTTCGGGGTTTTTTCTTTTTAATGTGTAGTGGGCTTGTCTCCAGGTCAGGGGCTGGCTCCGGGTCTAAGGTTCTGCCCCGAACTACCAAGGATACCCCTTGGCAACTGCATCCTAAACCCTAAAATTCCCCAACATCCGGATCCTCTTTCCTAAACCCTGAACCACGGAAATGCTGAACCGAGTCACCCAATCGACCCGAATGCTGCTAAGCCGCTGCAGACGCAACGGCCATTCTGGCCGCAGGCTCCGTTGGAACCGCAGTCCTGTTTAGGTCTTAGGGTTTAGGTTTTAGGATCTATACTTTAGGGTTTCAGGTGTAACGCTTACGGTTTTTAGCTGTGAGACCGTAAACTTTTGTAGCCTGCTATACGGTTTGTATGAGGCTTTGAGAGAGCTTATAGTAAGTATAGGGGGTTTAGGGGCTTAGGGTTTGCGGTTTGTATGTAAAGCTTCCGTGGGTACTTCATATGCTCAGAAGGTCTTCCTGTGTTTCAGCACGCACTGCATGCACTAATATGAGGCGCAATGCTCGTAACCTAGAGGCCATGAGAATTAGAATAGGGCTTTGGGGCCCATTATGCTATACTTATAACAAGGAACCCCCAACATAGTATAGGAAATGATTAAGGCCCCTATATTAGTTCTCTTGCTAGTGTTTTTCCCAGCATCCCAAGCGCAACCGGAGTTGCCATGGGCCCAGAGACTCTAATATCCCTTAATTCAGGAATTTTCCCGTAAACCATATTAGTGATCCTGCTTTAGTTTTTGGTAGTATATTCCTTAATTAACGGATTTGGGAATCTCTGGGGGTGTTTGCAAGCAGCCTCGTCTCTAATTCTGGCTTCAATTGGGAGCCTTCATAATTAGAATTGGGTTTGGGGCCCATTATACTATAAATATAAATAATAAGGAACCCGCAAAATAGTATAACACAAGGTAATGGCTGAGGCCCCTACATTATGCTTCTTCGATTGGCACCGAAAACCTTCAACTCGGATTTAGCACCCCTCTGCACATTTCAACACCCACAGGCAGAAAGCAATGAAGAAAAACACCAAGCCAGATAGTGGCAAAACTGTGAAAAGCCCTTCAACCTAGAGGCATTCAAAAAGGATCCCGGGTTTTTGCATTTAAGAACTATATCGGCGCAGTCCATGGCGCATGCCAACGGCTGCAGGCAGTCGTGGCCAGTGAAACCGGGCCTGATGGAAGAGATTCATGCAGCGTTAGGGACCAGGCCATAGGGTATGGGGGGCAAGGTCCGTGGATGTTCGTGGCTTCGGCTCGCAGCTTCAAGGTTTGGGGTTCAGGGTGTTTGGCAAGGTTAGGGGTTAGGGCTTTGACATGCAATGTTTAGGGAGTAGGATTTCAACAGTGCAGTGGAAACCATGGAGAGCACAAGCTTTAACCCTTTTCTGCAACCTTAGCCGTAAGCAAAACACTGAAACCCCAAAGCGTGCAGCCCTGAAACCCCGACGCGTGCCAGACAACCCCGTCAAACCGCCGCAAAGCCGTGAACATCCGTACCAAGCAAGGCCCCACTGAGGGTCTTGCTCCGTACACTGGCAGTAGAGGTTCTCCACACAATGCCCATGCCCACCGCACCTTGGGATGGCTGCGGCTCCAAGTGGAATTTAGCTTTAGGATTTCAAAGAGGTTTCACAGGTGTTCTGTAAAGGTTACCGTAAGGATTGACATAAGGGTTGCCACAAGGCTTACCATAAAGATTCCATAACGGATCTAGCGCTTTAGGGTTTGGGGCTCAGTGTGTGCTCGGAGAGATGAGAAGCTCAAATAAGGGTGTCTGGCGTGGTATTTACACCTTGGGTTTACGGATTTAAGCTACGGCTGTGGGAGCTCTCTGAAATCAGCCCTATGTGGGTCAATCTCATACAAAGGTCCCCAGGCCTTAAACCCGAAACAGAAAGCAGTATGTGCATCTATCTATATGTCTACGTAGTTATACAGTTCCCACGTGGAACACTTGTAGCAACACTTGTAGAACCTGTTCATATCCTACGAAGCGTCATTTGAGAGGCGTTGTTGCCTATACTGAACTTAGAACCCTAGCAAAAATCAACATTTCAGCTGTTTCTTAGGGATTACAATAACCAAAAATTGAAACTTAGTTCTAAGTACCCCTGAGTTTGTAGGCATCCTGCTGTATGGGTTGGATATGGAGTTAGGAAGCCGGAGGGATTTAGCTCCTGGGGGTGGTTTACATTTCGGGTTTATGGCTTAGTAAGTTAGGGGTTGGGGGAGATCATGGGGTCAGGCTTTAGGGTTTAGGGGCTCAAGGATTAGGGCTGAGCGGGATTAGGGGGCTCAGGGTTTGGGGTTGGGTTTGGTAGTTTAGCGTGTGGTGTACGGCGCATAAGGTCCTGAGTCGAGTGGGTGGTGAGTGACAGTAGGGTGGGGGGGCGTCTGCTGCCAGCTAAACCCTTTCAGTTGCAACTGCTTTTTGCTGAAATGTCCTGACCCCGAAACCCTATACCAATGTCCTGTATACGCCGTTCCAAAAACTACGACGCAAGCAGAACTCGCAACCTTGGGTGCAGTTGGGAGGCCGTGGAAAGGATACTGCATCATGATGTAGTATTACTATGTACTCCTGCCCCTATATTGGGGCGGCATGCCAGCCCACAGTGCATCCTGCTCGCAAGGTCCAGCCTAAACCGGAAACTTACACCCCCCCCCTCCCAACCCCAGAACCCTGAAGTCCAGACCCTAAACCCTGAACCTCTTACACAGTACCCTGAGAAAGCAGAAACCGATAGAAGCGAAACCCTGAACCCCTCCAGTCCAAAGAAACACAGCCACTCTCCTAAACCCTGAACCGCAGGCCGTAAGCCTAAAACCCGAAACGTCCTAAAGCCCTCAAGGCCTAAACCTTGGGTAGGTTCCAGGCGTCCCTGACAGATGAAGGGCAAAATGGTTTCAGGCCAGCCATGTGTAACAGCCTCCTGCATCTCGCTGGGGCTCCTGTTTGGCTCCCCGGCCATAGACTCGGAGGAATTTGAAGCCACCAGGCATAGCTTCCTTCAGCCGAGAAAGCCCAGGCCACATTCTATCTCGTGATCCTTCATGACTGAAGATCAAAAAAATTCTGGGCCGGCCCAGGATCACGATCGCATGCTGTCGGATGTCCGTGCCTGCCAAGGCGAGCCTTCCAAGCAAGTCAGGATCGTCCTCCAGACGTTGCCGCGCCCTCCATTGCCACGAAGACGAGCCATGGTAGGGTTCACGGTTTAGGGTTTAGGGTGTTTAGTTTAGTCTAATCAACAACCTTAAATCATTACACCCTAAACCCTAAGCCTAAACCGTTTGGGGTTTACGGTTGAAAATAAAATTGGGGGTTTAGGGGCCATGCCGGGTTATATATATATATATATACATACATACATACATACATACATACATACATACATATAGTAGCAGTGTATAATAGGGCCTTCTATATCTGTACCATAGCTATTATTTTGAGTGAGCGTTCTCCAACCTAAACCCTAAACCCTGAAACCCTATACACCCTGAAACCCTAAAATCTGAAACCCTAAAAACCCTAAAATCTGAAACCCTATAAACCCTAAAACCCTAAAATCTGAAACCCTAGAACTTTAGAACCCTAAAACATACCCAAACCCCGGGTGCCCGGGCTGATCAGGGCATGGCTCCTCGGTGTTCAGCACCTCTCAAGTAGTTAGGGCTTGAAGGGTTTAGGGGTTTCGGGGTTAAGGTTTAAGGCTTAAGGTTGAGGGTTTAGGGGTAGGGGGTTTAAGGGCTAAGGGTTTAGGGCTTAGGGCTTAGGGCTTAATAGGGCTCAGGGTTTAGGGCTCATTTAGGGTTTAGGGTTTAGGGCTTAGGGTGTTTTTTTAAAGTGCAACGAATCTAGAATCCCAAGTTCCAAAATCCTCAGGTTTAAGCCCCCGCATCTCTCAATGTTTTACTCGCACAGTTTGCAGTCATTCACCGCGGACGGGGAAATAGGCACCACTTGGTTCGTGGATTTCCCCCGCGTCGCAAGACCCTGAGACAAATAGGGCAAGCACGACACGGTTTGTATCGAATGCGGTATACGGCCCGCATTCCTTCATAGGGCGGTTCCCTCACAGAACCTGATTCAGGCGGCGGGATAGGTTCGACCCTCAGATTTGGAGGGAAGTCGAACTTGAGCTTTGGCTGAAATCTCATAATTTCGCGCAGGCCCTCTGTCTTTGCTGGGACAGCCGGTTCAAACAAATGTTCACCACTTTCTTTGGGTGGCATCTTTATCCAACTCACCGTTTTGTCGGGAACTGGCACCCGCTTGCCGCCGATGACCTTAGAAAGCTTGGATTCCGACAATTGGGTTTGACATTACGCGTCTAGATCCAATGCAGTTAAGATGCCATGTAGCCCTTTGATTTCTTAGATGGGCTTTGGTCATCCAACTCCTTCCAATCCTGAGTTTACCGGCGGAGTCGGGCATGAGGTTGCGTGTTTGAGGGGTTTTAGGAAACCAGGTGCTGGCCAAGCGGCGATGGCCCCTTGGATACCGCCGCTGCCCTGAGTTGTTTTCATGATGAAAAGCATCAGCTACACGAATGCAGAAGGAATTATTTAAGCCAAGTTGCATCCGGCGTCTCGACGATGAGCGGCAGCTGGAGCGCCTTAGTAATAGCATAGTAGGGTACAGGGTTTAGGGGTTTTGGTTTATGGTTTAGCGTTTAGGGCATGTTTAAGCCAAGGATCTCCGGCTGCCCTCTTGTTGGGGGAACTGTTCCCGGCGACCCGCGCGTCCTTGGTAATAGCATGTAGGGTTAAGGATTCAGGGTTGAGGCTTAAGGATTAAGGGTCGAGGCCAAGGTGCATCAGTCTTGTCGTCATTCGGCTTTGTGATGCGGTCCTTGGCAATTAATAATAGTATGGTTCAGCATGAAGTGTTCTCACATGCTGTCCCAGCCACAGCCATTGTTCCAGGCGATGCAAAGACGAAGTTGGATGCAAGTTGATGCAAGGATGCTTTAGAGCAGAAATAGCTAAGGTAAGCGCACTTGCACCTGGAACCGATCTCAACGGCTTCTCTGTTTCACAGCAAAAGGCATGGTTGATGAACTTGCAGCTGCGCCCCGATTGGAGAACAGCCACGAGACAACACCAGCGATTTGCGTCATCGATCTCAACAGCTTCTCTGTTTCACAGCAAAAGGCATGGTAGATGACCTTGCAGCTGCGCCCCGATTGGAGAACAGCCACGAGACAACACCAGCGATTTTTCGATTCCGCAGAACGAGATGAGCCTGCCATTGAGGCTTACACTTCAAGAGAACCCTCCAAAGCCACTTTCAGATGAGCAACTGCACGGCAACAATCACATTCACAGAGCTCAGGTGTCACGACTGCGACTACGATCACGAGCCACCCGACTCGTCGGGCTTAGGGTTTAGCGGCTTAGCGCTTAGGGTTTACGGATTTGCCTAAGGGTTCCCACAAGAATAGGATTTCGGGGTATGCCATAGTATAGTTATGTCGGGACGATAACGGGAGATTATCACTAACTACTCGGACCCCTGGAGTTAGAGTGTCTTTTGCAGAGACTCAGTGGGTTTGGCTTTCAGGTTTTAGGGTGCAGGGTTTACGGTTGCGGCCTTATTCTTTCCAAGGCAGAGGGTGTGCTGCAATGGCGAGAAAGGCCGCACATGCACGGACGGACAACACAGGCAGACAGACAGACACAGACACGCCACCCTAACAGCCGTAAACGCCCAATTAGCCCCGCACCGTCCGTGGACGGTTATGAACCCAAATCCGGAAAATTGCACAACCTAAGTTCTAGGGCATTCTAGAGCAAGACCTGCCCTCGGCAAAACTAGATAGTTGGGTAGGCAAATTTTATCACACGGGGAGTACAGGCGACAGGACAGTTTGACTTGCACGATAAAGATATCAGACAACCCTTAGCAATACTTTTATCACGTCTCCTAACATGTTGTCAACATTCTTGTGCCGTGGTTTGGTCCCCACGCAGGCCCTAAAGCCTAGACCCGCAGTCTAAACCCCAAAGCCCCCAAAGCCCGCCTCCACATCGTTGAAGCATTCCGACACCTTCTCTGGGGATGGGTTTCAGGTCTTTTGTTCTGGTTTGAAGACGTCTATAAGGGCTCGTTCATGTGCTTTATTCTCTTATGGCGTAGGGTTCTATTCGGGTTCTCTACGGAGGGTCTCGACTTCAGGATTTCGAGTTTGCAGGATTTGAATCTAGGGTTCCTAGAGTCTTTCGGGATTCATGGATAGGCTATGAGGGGATTGAACTGGGCTTGCAAGGGCTCGGCATCGCTGAGACTTTAAGTTCAATCCCTGGACCGCGCAAACTCCGAAATCGTCACTGCCCCCTGAGGTCCGACGTTCCATGACCCGAGACCCCAAAGGCGCAGAATCCTGCCCACAGCCTCATGATAAGCCCTACGATCCCAATCATGGGAGGGGGGTTATGAATCCACCGTGCGCATGAGTTCTGGCAAGCCAACTAGAAGTTCAGAGTACAAGCACCTAGAACTGAACTTGAAGCCTTAGTTGAAGAGGGCCTCAATAATTACTGGGGTGTATGACACTTTTGCGCAGGGACCAAGAGAAGCCTGACCCTAAATCACTAAACCTTAAGCCCTAAACGCCTAAGCTCTAAAGCCTAAACCCCTAAAACACTCAGGGTTAAGGGGTTCAGGGTCCAACCCCCTCAACTTCAATGTGCCGACAATAAGGCGGGGTGGACATAAAGCTTTTAAAGCCCAGCTCAACTCGGCTCAACTATGGAGCCGACGATCAGGGCCCCTTCTGAGGAAGATTCAAGGTTTCAGGGTTTAGGGTGTAGGTTTCAGGGCTTAGGTTTCAGGGTTTAGGGTTTAGGGCTGTTGGCTTAGGGTTTTGGGTTTTGGGTTTACAGTTTGGTCTCAGGGTAGGTCAGGGTTTCGGGCCAAAAGTGCAGGGGTGGGTTTAGGGATTCAGGGGCATAGGGTTAAGGGTGGGATTATGGATTTAAGAGTCTAGGGTTCATGGGTCAGGGGCGGTTTAGGGTTCAGGCATTCTAGTGTAGGGCTTCAAGTTTAGGGTTTAGCACTTAGGGTGTAGGGTTTTAGGTTTAGGGTTTAGGGTTCAGGGTTTAGGGGGAACAGAGTCGGCAAAATCTCGAGCCCACGACGTGCCTGGCATCCTCCGAAGACGAACATCTGGGCGCCAACGAAGGCAGCACTGTGGCCTGAAGGCCCTAAGTCCCGTACTGTAAGGGCCTCAATAACTAGAATAGGGTTCCTTTAAACGGGTTCCTGAAAGGGGTCTATAAGAGATCTGCACAAGGGGTCTATGATGTAGGGGCCTTAAAAATTGGAATAGGAATTTTGGGGCCCATTATACTATACTTATAATAAGGAACCCCCAAATAGTATTGGCAATTATTAGGCCCCTGCATTAAGTGTTTTCTCCTGGGGCTCTTGGCGGGTTTAGGGTTTGAAAGGGCTGTTATGCAGATATCGTGACATGGACTTTAATTAGATGTTATCAGGGTCTTGGGGCACAGTCTGCTAGAGTTTGTCGAGACTACAAGGGGGCCTTATGCCTTAGTTAGTATTCTGGCACTTTTTTCGCTGCAGCTACCGGCTGTAGCAACAGCATTGGCGATGCTAGCAGCGAGCAGCAGGAACGATAGGTAGTAATAGCAAATCGCCGGCACTGCTACCGCCACCGTCATCCTCACCACCATAACAAAAAATCATCTCCATGACCATGACAACAACCATCGCCATCCTCACCATCGGCATCAGCAGCATCATCTCCATCATCAACATCAACATTCGGGTAAAGGCTGGTTGTAAACGGGAATACGGAGCCCTGCAATTGTGAGCAAATCCAGTACTGGGTACCTATCATCCCTGCATTCAATATCATTCTGAAAGTTGTGAACCCCAAACATTGTTCCGTTAAATCGCTCTGCCTCTGCATCCTTCTGAAGCCCTGTTGGGTCTCTCTAAAACCTTAATGATCCGACGAAAAACTCTGTCAGTCACTCTAAAATCCTATAACCCCCTCTGACGCCCGAGACCCTCAACCCTATACATCCTTTGTAAAACCTGAGAGACCTCTCTCTTGCCTCAAACCCTAAACTCCAAACCATAGAACCTGAACCTTAAACCCAAACCCTGAAACCCGTACCTTCACGCTGGCGCCACTGGAGGGCAGAGTCTGTCATCCTCGTACGAGGGTTCTGGGCTTTGGGTTTTGGGTTTGGGGTATAGGGTTGGGGTTTTAGAAGTTACGGATTGGAGTTTGGGGCTGTAGGGCTTCAGGGTTTTGGGGTTCAGGGTGTCTGGGCTGCAAGTTTAGAGTTTTATATAGGGTTTTTGAGCGCTTAGGGTCCAGGGTTTTGAGATTTTGATTTTAAGCTTTTAAGATTGGGGTTAGGGGCCTAGGGTTAAGAGCCTCACGGTTTTAGGGTGTTTCAGCTTGGGGCGGTTTAAAGGTTGAGGGTTTAGGGTCACCAGGCAAGGCCCGTCATTGCAGTAAGTCAAAGGCAATGGGTTTGGGGTTTATGGTTGGGGATTTTAGGGCATTTGTGTTTTACGATTCAGTGTTCAGGGGGTCATTGTTTCTAGACGACCTTCATAGAGCTTCTTGGGATGTTAGACTGTCGTGCTCTTTGTAAGAGGTGTATACAGAGCATTGGTCCGGTGCATGGGGCCTGTCACTCTGCGTTTGAATTTGTTTAAAAGATGCAGTGCACCTTTGACAACGGAAGCCCGAAGTGTCCCGCGCTGCTCCGGAGAGCTTGCACTCAGCCTACATGCTGAAAGTGGTTCAAGGCTTTGAGGTGTAGGCTTCAAGACTTAGGGCTTGTCGGGCCTCAGACCTGTGAGGGTAAGGGTTTTAGAGGCTTGGATAATTTTGGATTTGGTTGGAGGGTTCGGGCCTCTCCGAGAGTTAAGGACCGAAGACGGACACCGATAAGTAAAGGACTGCACCGCTTTTTGTTGTGGCCGTCTAGCCCTCAACCTGAATCCAAAACCCAGAATCCTTTGCTTTAAACCCTGGAAAGTCTACTCTTCTGAGCCCTGCACCTCTGCGACCAGCTTTTTGAAGCCAAATCCAGGCGCCAGACGTCGCTGAAGCAGTGGGCAGCCTTTCGATGTCAAAGCTTTCGGTATTAACACGTCGGGCTGATTTAGGGCCCAGGTCGCGAATCCTTCTGCCATGAACGAAAAACGATAATGAGGCCCCAGCCGATGTGCAGCCACCAGCAACCACGAGACTGTGTCCGTGGCGCAGAGCGCTGTGAGCCTGACCGAATCGCTTTAATAACCTTGACCTACCATTACCTTCTGTTGCAGGGCGCCCGATATGCGATGAATGAGCCCTCAACCCTAAACCGTCTAAGGCGGCCAACACTCAGGGCCTAGGGCCTTTATGGGTTTCTTTACAGGGACTCCAAAAGAACGCTCTATGAGGGTCTAATTGGGGGGTGTAAGGGTCCCAAGCACTCAATATCTGGATACTTGGGCTTAGGCCCATGATGTAGGAGTGATTGCTTTTGCGAGTATTATATGTAAGGAACCCTGACGAATAGTATTTCGAATGATTCAAGCTTCTTTCTAATCATGGTGCTTAAAAGTTATCAGATTGGGGGGGCTTTTGGGGGCTGGGGTGTGGCACCCTCAGGATTCCGTCTAGGGGAGCTGGAAAGACTCACAAAGCCTCAAAGATCTCCCAAATAGGTAGATTAGAGGAGGCTTACAAACCAGAACAGGCTTTTGGATGTAGAATAAAACCTATACTTATCAGGAGCCCAAGGGAATAGATGTTTAGTCATATTGGCGTCTATATTAGGACTGAAACCCATTAGTAGTCCTATCTATCCCATCTTTAGACCCACGACCTCTGCCTCTCGCAAATAGCCGTCAGACCCGCAGTGAAGTGCTAAGCGTATATAGTATAGCCAAGTTTAGTATGTTTGTGTGTGTCATAGTAGACTATGGTACTTAACATCATATCTTGGCTTCCCCTGTTCAACCCCATGAAACCGAAAACATCACTGCAAGTGCTCAAAACCTCTCACATTTAACACGCACACATCGCAATCTCTAAAGTCGCGAGAACTCGAACACCCTAAACCCTAAACCCCTAAACCCGCCTTGCGCGGCAGGGGGGCTGCCCCGCCAACGGGAAGCCTCATGTACGACATGGAAGAGCTGAGTGCCCAACGCCGAAACCCGAAACAAACATCCACCCCGAAAAAGGGTTGAGGATTTAAGGTTGCCGAACACACCCTGAAGCACATGCTGGATCCTAAACCTTAAAGCCTGACATGCCAAGCCGAATGCGCAACCTTGCGACAGCTTCAACCTTTGGTACGAAAGACGACCAGAAACGCTGGTTCAAAGCACATTACTTTTCTTACGTTTGGTAAGTAGGGAATGGAAGAATGGTAGCAATAGTAGTTTTAATTGTACCCCATCCCTCCATTCCCTACTAATCAAAGGTAGGTTTTGCGTTTCCATATTCCAGAGCTTGGAGCTTCTGGCTTGGAAAGGCTGTAAAGCCGAACCGCTAGACGGTGAAACCGGAAAACTCAAACCATAGGAGTTCAAAGTCTCCGTCCCAAAACACTTAATGCTGCGCTCTTGCTAAGAAGGTTCGAAGAAGTTAGCATTTTCAAGACAAACGATGGTTTATACTGCGTGTCCCGATTGTGGAAACTTCCCAGCAAGGAACTTCCAAGGACAACCCAATGCCCCGAACCCTAAACCCTCAACCCGAAATCCCTAAACCCTAAACCCCAAGACCCCTAACAACAAAAACCCAAACTCCTAACCCCACCCAACATCCTTGAGCCTCAAGCTTGCCCGCCACCTAAGCCCCCAACCTGGGCCCTACGCCCCTTAGAGCCTCCCTCCTGTCGTGTAGGAGTCGGAATAGTTACTTGACATTCCCATTTCTCAGTGTACATCATGCAGCAACCTAATTAGCAAACGTCAACCTCGAGAAACCAAAAATCCCGAGGTTGCGCGGGCTGGCAAGCGAACCGGCAGCAAATACACGAGTAAACACCGGCATCTCTGTAAAAAGTCTCCGGTAGCGCCGGTCACGTTGTTGAATGGACTGAAAACATGTCCTTCCATTCCGTAGAGCAGCGGGCTCACCAACCTGTCAAAGCGATCGGCGAATCCAGTCGACTCCTCGTGACCGCACAGTCTGGCGAGAAGCGGCCTGATTGCCTTCTTGAGTAGCGGCCCTGTAAACCGGACATTCGCCTCGAGGTATGCGTCATGCACTCCGGCGTTCTTCAGAGCAGTGAGTCTGCTCCCAGACCACAGCGAGTTCACCCACCGCTTCCCAGCCTGCAGACAAGGAAGGGAGGACCGACGACGACGCACAGGCTAATGGAAACCTAGAACCAGGCTATGCCACTCCTTCCTGTTTCTCACGGCTCCTTGATTATCGTAGAACTCTGAATTATATTCCTGAAGGTTCCGGGGAATGTCACTTTAGTATCCTAAAACCTACAAGCCAATCCATCTAATATGGCCCTTGCAGTGCCCCAAACCCTCGACAGTAACCCCTGTGCCCCCAAATACCCCCCCCACCTCCCGCCATGTGAGGGTGCGGCTCCTAAATGGCTTTATGGGTTTCGATTCTGAGGTTTAGGGTTTGGGTTTTAGGGTTCAGGAGATTCTTGTGCTTAGGGCTTGGGGCCACAAGCCGAAACAGACACCGTAAACCAATAACGGTAATGATGCCGGCATGACTCTGTTTAGGGTTTAGGGGTTTGGGGTTTTGGGGTTTGGGGTTTAGGGTTTAGGGGTGTAGGGGTTTAGGGTTTACTTCCTCCCGAAGTCTCCAGTCTGCAACAGACAACTGAACCTCCACATCCTAGGAGACTTGAACTTTGTAAACTCCAAACACACCCGCTTCATAAGCTCAGGGACTGTTTCCAGCTTCCAGCTGAAGTGTCGTACCTCGAAGGCACGAACGGTGTGGGGTTCTACAGGGCAATAAAAGTAGACATAATCGTAACAATGGTAGCAATGGCACTACTAATCATACCAAGAAGAAGAACGCTTGAGTCTAGCCAAGCGACGCCGAGGCCTGCACCAGCTTTGCAGGCTTTGCTTTTCCTCATACAGCGAACTCCTTAATTTTGGATACACCTGAAACCATAGAGGTATCCTGTCCAAGTATGAACTCGGGTATACTTAGTGTACTCCTTAGGGGCTTTTGGAGTTTCTGGGCCCTCGTCATCACGATCACCAAGGTCGCCATCACCGGTCGCATCCTTCTCATCATCGGCACCATACTTACGCTCATCCTCGTCTCCTTCGCCATCGCGGCAAGTAAGATGCTGGCTACGGATAAAACGATGCTAACCCAAAACACTGTACCCCCCAAACCCCCTCTCTCTCTCTAAATCCCTAAATCCCGTCCAATTTCCGGGCAGTGGCTCTGGCTTAGCCTGCCATCATTGTCTCGCACTAACACTCTCCCCCCCATACCAAAAAGAACACCTGAAAAAAAGGAAACAGGCACACGACAAGGTGGGATTTGATGGTTCAGGTAAACCGTCCACGCCCCATGTAGACATGTAAAGCCGAACCCCCTAAACCCCGTAATATGCTTGACCCTACGGTCTGCGCACGTGTAGACATCGTTGACATCGGAGCCATCTGCGGTGGATCCGCCAAACAAGACCAGCTGCCTGGCAAACAAAAGTTCGGGGGGATCGGCGTTCATCTAAGTTCAGGATCCTGCTATTTGGCTGGTTTTGGCGGTGTCGTTTATGGTTCCCTTATCTCAATGTATTTGAGGATGCTGCTGTTTCTGATGTATTAGGGATGCCTCACTTTCTGTCCCATAACTTACCTTTGGTTAGTAGGGAATGGAAGAATGGTAGTAATAGAGTTATACTTGTACCCCATTCCTCCATTCCCTACTAACCAAAGGTAAGATAAACTTCTGCATGGACAAGTTTGCCGTTCGAGGTTGCAGTCTGACGCAGGAACTGCGGTCTGGTTGGTCAGGGTTTAGGGTTTAGGGTTTAGGGTTTAGGGTTTAGGGTTTAGGGTTTAGGGTTTAGGGTTGAGGATCTAGGTAGGGCTTCGGATTTGGTTATTGGGCGTAGTGTGTGGAACTCACGGGTGAGGGCTGTGGCCTTCTGCAAGGCCGAATTGAGGTCGTCATCACCAAGTCGCAACTTCTCAGCCCCCTTGAGCTCCCCGTCCCTTCTCATGAGCCTGTCGACGGAGGTGAGGGAATGGCCCTGCCGGCCGGAGGGCACCTGCAAAGGAATCACGTCAGTCGCCGCTTAAACTAAACCCTAAATAAACTCCTAAACCTTGCACCCTATACCCCTAAACAACGACCCCTAAAGCCCAAACCCCTAAACTTCGGGCTTAGCAGCCTTTGGAAGCCTGGGTCTGAGTCGAAACCCTATGGCCAGGTGTGGGGGTTTTGTGGTTTCGGGCTTTTCCCTTGTGGGCTCCTTGAAGGCCTGCTTTACAGGCTTAAAGGGCTCGTTTAGACCGGAAGGAACCCTATAGTCCCTAAAATAGCTCTTAACTTAACGGGCTTTCAGGGTGGGTTTCGGGTTTAAGGCCTTTGGATTCACAGGCATCGGCGTGAAATAACGTCTAGGGTGTGCGGTTCACGGTGTGAGATATGTACCCTGCACGCTAAACCCAAACCATAATCCCCAAACCGTAATCCCCCATCCCTAACCCCTCATCCCCAAATCCTAACCCCTAAACCTCCGAACAGTAAACCCTAAACCCTAAACAGTAAGGATTAAGGGTCTGTGATTCAGGCTTCTAGTCTTCAGATTCCAAGACTTGGCGGCGCTCTGCAGCGATACCAGCAACCCTTGAACGTACTCGCCCCAAAACTAACTCACTGGCCCAAAACCCGAGGAAATAAAGTTGAAACTTTCAGAATCGACTACCTTATAAGAACCCCAAAAGTTGAAAAGCTCAGTTTACAGCCAATAAGACAACAAAAGCCCTAGTAAGAGTAAGATAGAACCTAAGTGGGACGTTGTGCGCATTTTAGTACAATCATATACGACTCGTACGGGGATATTGCTACGTAGAGTACCATGCAAATTTCGGAAAGACACCAGGACTCCTGAATTAAGGGTTTAGGGTTTAGGGTTTAGGGTTTAGGGTTTAGGGTTTAGGGTTTAGGGTTTAGGGTTTAGGGTTTAGGGTTTAGGGTTTAGGGTTTAGGGTTTAGGGTTTAGGGTTTAGGGTTTAGGGTTTAGGGTTTAGGGTTTAGGGTTTAGGGTTTAGGGTTTAGGGTTTAGGGTTTAGGGTTTAGGGTTTAGGGTATAGGGTATACCTTATATCCTAAAGGGCTGTTTACGAACTTTCACGCGAGGAATAGTCGGGCTTGCAGTGGGCTTTTGCATCTGCCGGCGTTAGCCAGAGGCCACATTTCTGCCCCTGTCCGTCCCACCCTTCTGGCCAAGCTTTGTTGCAGAGTCCCTTCTTAGGAAGAGAGCCTGCTAGACCTCTGATTTATGGATCCCCTCCCACAACAAAGCTGATAATGAGGCTCGTATCCTGAGGGCCTTGGGGAAGGAGGGGTTTCAAAATCAGAGGGTTTAAGGTTCAGGCGCACGGATTTGGGGCACATTCTTTGAGTCTCGGAAAAAGCTGGGAACTACAAACCGTGAACTTCAGGGCTTAGGATCTTACAGGGTCTTTCCAGGGGCGTAAGATTCAGCGGGAGTACAGCTTTAGATAATGCTGCATCGGCGTAGGCTGGGCCTTCGCTGCAACAGAAGCACGGCTTCTGCAAAGACAACACATCCTTTAGACATGCTGGCAAAACGAGCTGTGGATTCGGTACATCTGAGCCCGCAACTGAACCCTGGAGGGGTTTAAGGCTTTCGGGCGGTGAATTTTCAAGCACCTCCGATAACAGCAGCACTCCATGCCTCTGCTTACCGATCTGAAACGAGGCTGTTGCTACACTAGTTTTTATGACTGTCGTTTCTTGCGTTAGCGGAGGCATCTTGCTATTCAGAACCGTCTTTTGTGCTTCTAGTTTTCTTACCATGAAGCGTGAAAGCCTAGCCTGAAAACCTCAAACCCGGGTTTCGGCATTTGGAGGCTCGGAAACCTCAACCAACCTTCTTGCTGAAATGCCCCTGAGGTACCCGATCTTGCTTCCCATAAGCCCTTAACCCCTAACCTCGGAGGTTTTAGTTATGGAGCTCAGGAACATGAACCCTAGTTAGGTAAATACCGTTGAAGTGTGCGAATATCTGAGTCTCATAGCATTTCGAAAAGGGTGGTTTAAAAAACATTTTGTGCAAATGAAAGTCACCATGACAAAAATTTGAAACACTACGTAGTTACTACTACCTAGTCAGACAGGGTTGGCTGTGTTGTTTTGCAACCCTACGTAAATTCTAAATCCTAAGCCCCAAACCCTACACCCTAAACCGCACAAGCCTCTGAGGTTCAAGGGTTTAGGATTTGCTTTGGTTCTTGTTAAAACCCTAAACCCTAAGCCCTAAACCCTAACCCGACCCTGCATTTTGGCCGCCGGAGGCGACAGTTGGGGAGGCGCGGGTTCAGGCTTCAGGTTTCGGATCTGGCTCTGAGTATCCACGGGTAAAAGGAGGGACCATTAATAAGGACCCCTAGGTATATACCCTTAATATAGCAATTATATACCCATGATATAGCCCATTATAGGGTAGGGGTTCCCTATTAAGGGTCCTTCCTTTTCTCCTTTGAGAGTAATCCTGAACTGAACCCTTGACATCTAAACCCTGCATGAAACCTAAACCCTGAACCCTAAACCCCCTAAACCCTGAACCCCCTAAACCCCAAACCTGCACCCCTGAACCCCAAACCCTGAAACCTAGACCCTGAAACCTCGACCCTCAAGCCCCAAAGACTAAGCAACCTAATTGCCTCAAACCCTAAACCCCAATGAACCCTTCAAACCTCTTTTAGAGTAGCCCTACTACATTGTACTTAAGGTCCCTACAGCAGCAGATCCCCGACCTCCGAACTCCAGAAGCCCCTAAACCCTAAACCCTAAACCCTAAACCCTATACCCTAAACCCTAAACCCTAAAGCTGCACGTAACCTCGATCTTCGAGTCCACGTCTGACTTGTCTTATCGGAGCTCCATAGCTAAACAGTGCTTTTTCAAGGGATCTATAAGGGTACTATATATGGTATAGGGACCTTAATGATCTATAAGGGTACTATATATAGTATAGGGACCTGAATGATTAGAATAGGGTTTTGGGGCCCACTATAAACAGTGTTTTTTCAAGGGCCCCCTAAATCGCCCGAAGCTTCTGACAAAACAGGGTTTAGGGTTTAGGGCTTAGGGTTTAGTTAAGGTTTGGGGTTTAGGGTTGTGCGAGGGTTTAGGCTCTAGGGATATGTTAGGGTTTTTTTAGCGCGTCTTTTCCAACTCGATATGTTAGGGCTTAGTGTGTTGGGCTTACTGTAAGTTTCGGAGCTTAAGTTCGCTGCTTGGCATCAGGTGTCGCGTTCCGGTGCTTTGGAGTTCGGAAGTTGGGGATCCAATATAGCTTAGTAATTCGAGTACAGTGGGGTTCCTTGAAAGGGGTCCTTAAAGGGCTGCTATAAGGGATCTATAAGGGTACTGTAGTATAGGGGCCTTAATAATTGGAATAGGGTTTTGGGGCCCGCTATACTATAAATTTCATAAAAAAAAAACCAGCTATTGGTAATTGTTCAGGCCCCTATATTACTTGGAGGTTCAGCGCCTCGAGCGATGGTTCAGGTCTACGGCTGGGGGCCCCATGGGATCATCCGAGAGTGTTTGACGGCGCATTCTCAAAAAATCGATACGAAACAGTGAAAAATCCTAAACCCAAAGTCCAAAACCCTAAACCCTGACAGTACAAGATACTTGCAAAATCCGCACTACTCGATCTTAAATTTTAATCCCTAAACCCGAAACCGTAAATTAAACCCGAAACCACAATCCACCCCGAATCTTAGAATCCCTTCTAAAACCTTCAAAGCCCCAAACCCTAAGCCGCAAGATCGTCAGAACAGCCCCGCCCCCGGAGCCGTCTTGGCCGTCGTGATGGGCAGCGCCCCCTCGCTGCCGTCACTAGTGGCAAGAGACTGCCAGACCTTGTCAGGGTTTAAGGTTTAGGGCCTAGGTTTCCCAGAGTCTCGAAAAGCCCTCCATCAAGAAGTATTCCTTGAATCATATGAAGGACCCCATCATAGCTTTAAGGTCTATTGCTTACTTTAAGGGCTTGGAGGCTCTGGGTTTTGCATGGTTTTTGCAGTAGTTTGGGCTTAAGGTTTATAGATAGGGCTCTGTAGGTTTGCATAGGGCTTTGTGGGATGGCTTCGGGCGTGGAGGGGTTGCATGGGGTTTCATGGGAGAGTACCACAGCTTTCGGCTTGAGAGCACACTAGATTCAAGGTGTTTCTGCTTCTGGCGTGCAGGGGGTGTAGGGCTCTAGGGTTTAGGGTGTATGGTTGCCCTCTTTCGGGGCTTGAGGGATTAAGCTCTTGATGAGTCCTAAAGCTCGACTCAGACCCTAGTACTACCTGCCTTTACGATGCCGAAGGGCAACCCTGATAGAGCCCTTGTGGAGGAACCCTCTTTTGGATGCGTTGCTTTTCTTGTCGGGCTGCCGTTGAGGCTTCCAAGCTTTGGAGGTTTAAGGCGACGGGACCCAGCGAGCTCAATATCCCTGAGCGAAGGGACATAATTTCATTTTCTCGGGCATACACAACTCGATTAGGGTCTCGGTCCCGGTGAATTCTATCGTATAGCTATATACAGGCTACAAGAGAAAGAGAAGATGATCAACTACGTAATTATTAAGGAATCTGTACTTAAGGGTATCTGGCTCTCTGGGAAACGTGACCCGGGCCTCCATGTATGCATCGAAGTCCAACTTCCTTGCATGGGAAAGGACGCGAGAGATGCGATTGTCTTGAAGGTAAGCACACCATACATACTCAGGGATTCCTCTAATTAGGAAAGGTCCTACTACTCGGATCTGCGTTCGATTGAGGGGCGGTGCGGGTGTAGGACTTCATCGCTTACACATAGGTCTTGATTCGGAGCTGCTAGACTCCACAACGGCATACGCGAAACCCGAACCTTAAAACCTAAATCCAAAACCATTTGATCTAAATCCCTAAAGCCTGCGGCTATCTGCGTCCACGCGATGCTCTGGTTTGCTGGGGACTTCTCGCCCCCAAGACTTCGGAGATCCCGAAATCAACACCAGTTATAGGCTTTGAGGTTTAGGTCGTA